CCATTAAATGCAAAAGTACATTATAATATTGCAAAAAATGCTGCTGATGCTGGAAATTCTACATTAGCACAATATGAATATCAGGAAGCTTTAAGGTAAGATTTTATAAAAATAAAATCTAGAGCAAAATAATGATTTTTATATTTATTAAATAGATTAAATCCTACATATGCTCAAGCTATGAACAATCTTGGAAATTTACTTAAAGATCAAGAAAAATATTTAGAAGCAGAGATATTGTTTAAACAAGCTATTGAATTGCAGTAAGTCTAATTGTATTTAATTATTTAAAATACTAAGTGATGAAAAATTTTAATTCTATCAAAATTTTTTTACTTAGAATTACAAGTTGTAAATTTTAGGGAAGATTTTGCCACTGCTTGGATGAACTTAGGCATTGTTTTGTCGGCATTAAAAAAATACGAAGAATCGGAAAAAAGTTATTTAACTGCTTTGACTCATAGAAACAAATATCCTGATTGTCTTTATAATTTGGGTGTACTGGTTAGTAATAAAAAGATAATTTGAACTTAAAAAAAAAAAATGTACATAATTTCTAAATGAATATATTTATAGTATTTAGAACAAAAAGATTATGATAAAGCATTAAAAGCTTGGGATTCTGCTATTAAGCAAAGAAATACACATAGGAGAGCATGGACCAATATGATATTACTTCTTGATGATTTAGGTATTAAAAAATTGTTTCCATCGCGATATTATATATTTTATACATATTTTATATATAAATAAATATCTTTTTATAGGTATGCGTGAAGATGCACTTAAAATAGCAAATCAAGCTTTACAATATTTACCAAATGACGCATCTATTTATTTTAACATTGCAAATATATTAGGAAAAGTAGGAAATTTTGTAGAGGCTGAAATATATTTTAAAAATGCAATATCAAGAAATCCTAAAGATGCAATGTTTTATACGAATCTAGGTGTATTGTATCACAGATGGAATAAATTTGATGAAGCAGAAAATATGTACAAAAGAGCATTAGAAATTAAACCAAAACTAAATAGTGCAAATGAAAATTTGAGAAAATTATACTCTCTGAAATCTTCAATAAAGTAACTTATTTTTTAATATAAAAAATAGAATTTGGTACATTTATATATCTATTTTTCCTTTTACGGCTTCAATATTCCGTGGATATGCATATGCTTCGAAATTCCCTACTTTTTTACCATCAATATAATTGTAAGATTTAAAACAGCTATCACAGAAATAACAAGGATTATGTGGTATTCTTTCATGTTTCATAGTAATCCATTGTGCATTATATACACCACATATCATGCAAAATTTGGAAGACATAGGTCTTAATCTGACTATTTGTGGATATGCAGATATTGCTAATTCATCATTGCAGTTAATCAACCTATAACATGATTACATAAAAAAGAGATAAAAATAAGTAATTTTATTAAAAAAAAAAAAAAATAGTTTATATATAATGCATTTAAATTACCTAGCATCACTAAATACAATTAAATGTTCACAACCACCTTGATGCTTGTATAGCCATGGAAAACCAAATCTTAAACATAATGAATCTATTCTACAATCTTCCATTGTAGCAACTTTGAAAGGTCCTAATCTTGGCCTTCTTTGTGCCCAATCGATAATTACTGCACTATAATCAATATTTGTTGAACATCTCGTATCATTATAAAAAGTGTCTTCGATAAAAAAGAATCCTGATTTGTAATACTCCTAATATAATAAAAAGTATTTTAAATTACAAATATATAGAAACAATTAATATATTAAACATTGTAATAATGTATTAAACAAAATAAATTACTTTTGCCATAGGTCCTACTGCATTGTCCAAATTCTCACTACATTCTTTAGAGATACTATAATCAGCAATGCAAGATATTTTATCTCTTAATTGAGCAAGTGTTTGAGAGCCTAAAACAGCTATAACATTATTTAATCGACGTAATGATCCACATTCTTTTCTTGGTGCATTTCTTGCTTTTTGTGCAAAAGGATGATAGATTCTAACAAAAACAAGAATATCCTGGCCAGGAACAGCACATGTCTCATATGTTCCTTCCTTTTTGGTATGATTCTAAAAAATAAAAATTATATATGATATATATTCTTTTCATTTTAAATTAAATACTTACTATGAATAATTCACTTTGGTATTTATATTGAAGTCGTTTAGTTTGTTGTTTTAATCTTTGTCTTAATTTTTGAATTGTTTGTAAATCTACATCTTCTGGTTCTTGAGCATCAAATATATCTTTTTTCCTCATTTTTCTAATATTGGCTAATTTTGGAGCTTCTCCTTCCACTGTTAAATTATCAATGCTAAAAATAAATTTTTAATATTATTACAGAATGATTTAAAAAAATTAAAATTTAAAAATGATAAGGAACCTGCAATAATTTGTTAACATAGATAATTCTTCTTCTGCAAGTTCAACTCCCATCATTGACATAAAATTATCTTTATCTTTTTTCATGGATATAAAATAATCAGCTACTAGTTTTTTATAATTATCAAAATATTCTTTTATATCCACTTTTGGTGATGCAGTCTTATTATAAAGTCTATATACGTCATCCATTATAATAAATTAGAGAGATATCTTTTTTCTTAATATATAATTCTTTTCTAATATATTTATTAGAAGTTATATAAAATTATCTAAAATCATTATAAGAAAATGACATAATGTCAAAGAAAAATAAACATTACTTTTCAGTTTGTCCAAATTATATTTGCATTGCAAAATATATATTTTCATGCATTTTATTAATAAAATTTTTTACTCAAATTAATTATATTAATAATATATAAAATGAACTTAAGAATTTCATTATTCTTTTTAATGTTTAAATTATGTTTGAATTATATTTTACAAGAACAATATCTTATTAATCTCAATATTTATAATATTATATTATTACATTATTATATTTTTTTATTGAAATAATTTAGTATTTTAACTAATATTTATTAATGAATTATATTACTATAAGATATTTATATTTAAATACATTTGATTTTAATTTTTTTTTCTTTTAAACTTAACCTTAAACAAACCTACCACCTCGATTGATTCTCTTAGGACTAAAGACAACCAAATTTTCATAGTTTAAAGAACGTATATACAATCGATATATTGTAACTTTCGATATAGAAAAACATGTTTCATTAAACCAAGTATAGATGTCACTACAATATAAAATAGAACAGTAAATATTATTCACAGAGATTTTTGAATTAGAATTTATTTTACCAAATTATTTTTTTTTGATATTTTTTTTGATTATCTTCTAATATCATTTGATATATAGATTACGAAAATTATAATTTTAATGTTAGAAATTTATGATACGAATAAATAAAGTTATTATATTTTAAGAGTATATTTTAATTTTAGTCTCATCATCATTACGATTCTATTGACAATGCATTTAATTAAAAAAGATTCTATAATTCATGAATAGAAAGGAATATAATATGGTCAAAAGAGTATGTGTATGTAAATAAGTATGTCGAGTCTATACGTGGAAAATAGAATAAGATAATAAACGCTTGACACAAGAGTATACAATGAAGAGGCGTAAACCAGACTTGCTCACGGTGCACTGCTTTCGCCAATGGTCCGTGTGAATGTGACTCCGCCTCTTAAGCGTGGCTAACTTTCCCTCCTAGTTCCATCGTGATTGTTGACCGTGTTTGGTCGAGCGTGCGCACCAGAGTACTCGCACATACACAACAGTAAAAGAGTGTAACTACACGAAAGTACTCGACATTCGATCACACGGATGCGCAGAAGTATGCGCGAAGCTTTAGTGTGAGCGGCCACCGATTGGTCGACCGACCACTTGCAGCCCTCTCATCTTTCATCCCTTTTCTTTTCATATCTTCTTATATATTTCTCTTTCATTTTTACTATCTATCCTCTTTTAATCTTCTTTTCTCAGATTCAAACGTTTCTCTGCCTTCTATCTTGCTTATTCGTCTATAATCTTCACTTCTTTCCTATTCACTCTCGTTGCAACGAGTGTATGCACGATCATGCTTGCTTAAAACAAGTAGTAGGTGGGTGCGTCTTTTCACGCACACGCATTCGACCATGAGATACGCATTCTGCATTAATTCGTGTGTGTAACATATGCACATACAGGAAGACAACATATACATGAAGCAGACGGGGGTCCAAGTTCTAAAGGCTACGCTACTAGTCGGAGAGGAGATTTCTTATTTCTGCTCTGGTAAATCTGTCGCCCCAGTCAGTGAGGCAGCGAAGGGCGAGCCGCGCACCATTGACCGTGTCCGTGCTTCTTTTTTCGTCTCGTCTAGCTGCGACTCATTCTTTCTTTTTCTTTCTTGTTCAGGTCTACGTTTCCTTTTTTCTTTTCTCATTTCTTTTTTTATAGAACGTGAGTGGATACGGACACGGTACCCTGCACGCCGTTGCACCAGATTATTTACTGTTGCGCTAAATTGTCGCGTTTTTCCCTCGACAGCCGCGAGAACGCCTTCAGTGTCTCTCTTCAGTGCGCGTGAATGAAGGACGACGAAGGAAGGCGGCGTGGAACGTTTAAGTTCTTCATGCTCGCTACCATTCGATCTTCTAGTGTTCTCCATCTTTTACCTGGTTCACGCGCCTTTTTTGCATGAATGAAGCACTGTGGATGGTCGATTATTTTTCCGCTCGTTGCAGCTGTGCTAAGTGATTTATTGATGTTTCTCCAATTGAATTAATATTTCATTTCCATTCGATACGTATGTCCAGTATCGAAAAATCTTATAAAATGAATGGCGGAATGTTACGTTTCATGTATGTACAATCAAAAATGTGAAACGAAAAGAGATGCTAGTAATTGAAAGAACACGGTGGTGTATGGTGAACAGAGTGCAGATGAGATAAGGTTATTTGATAAACATTGAAAGATATTTTTAAGATCGATAAATCGAAAGACAACAAATAATCAAGAAATTAATTTAGATAGGCTAAGTAAAATAAAGAAAAATTGTATTGAACGAAGTAAAGTTTGCAGAAGAACTGGAGGAACCGCGTTGCATGTAGCCGACGGATGCAAGGCTGCTCTTCCTGATGGATCCCATCGTGTTAGGTGAGAAATCGTATACATCATAATAATGAAGTTATAGCTATATAATCTAAATTCTTTCATCTTCTTTGATAATTTATTTTTCGTTTATTGTTGTTGAAACAGTCGAAGAAGAATTGTTGAATGATATATCAAAAAAAAAAACTAGGAGATTAATATAAATCAGAATTGAACACGTGTCTAAAAACTTCATAAATTTACTACATGTAACATTATTATATTCTCTTTGTTATAATTATTATATAGAATAATACACAATAAATGCAATAGAATTCTTTTATCAATCTTATATATATTCAATATATTCAATATCAATATTTCCTTTTTTCATGTATCGATAATTGAAATTAGTATCACGTTAATCATACAAATCAATTAATAGAATTATTCTCGTCTTATTTACAATAAAATCTTGAAAAAATAATTAATACGGGTTAATATGTATATATATACATGCAATTTTCTTGCAATTTTCTTCTTCTTATGTCGACGACATAAATTTTTTTTCGTTTTTTAGATTTTCTCATTCTTCTCGAATTATTCGTTGTGCGAGATGATAGATCGAGTCTCGATGGTGCGCGATGTGTGTGGACATGTCAATCAACTTCGACCTAATTGAATTTATAATTAAATGAGACGTGGCGTTTGGTTGTATCTTGATGTGGCGCCGTCGCTCGCCATTTATTAATTTCGCGCAAATCGCGGATGATAGTGAAATAGGTTGCCGCAATCTAACTACCAACACGAGCTCCACCTAAACCATCGTGCAAGTATTCGTGCCCTTCGAATCTTTCGTTTATAATCGTTATTAGCTAAATCTCTTTTATCAATTTTGTCTTTTATCGACAAATGACGTCCATATTATTATCGAACAAAATATTTCGAGGATTTAATCGTGTGAATTATATATCAAATAGATCATTTTAAGCGCAAACAATTGAAAGAAACATTGACAAAATAATGGAATAATTCGCGTGATATAAACGGTTACGAATCGTTCCATTCATAGAAAGTGTTTTACTGTACTCATTTCTCCAGCAACCTTTGACCTTGCTGGGTCCCGGATGCCCTCCTCGGTTCCTTATCGCCCTGCTTTCGATCTTCTTTTTTCTCGCCTTCTGAAACTCTCGACCAGTCGTAGCAACCGTATACAAGGCTGGCCGTTTAATAATTATGTCAGCAACGTTTTCTGACTTGACGAATATCGAAGTGGACCGTTCTAACGAGACTGTTTCGCAGACGCTTCTCGGGAGGAGCATAATCTGTGCCATCAGATACCGGTGAACCTCCAGCCAACTGCGTATTTCTGTTGCAACGATGTTTGGAAATACGGAGAGAATTTGATGTGATATATGTTATCATGACTCCTTCCTAACTTTTCCTCGATTAACCCTTTTCTTATCTTTAGGAAATTTTTTTGAACAAAAAGGAAAGTGCGTGTATTTCGAAATGTTCTATTATATAAATTAGGACATTGTTGATTGGAAGAATGAAAACGATAATCGGAAAGTGACACATTCAATCAATGATAATGAAGAGAGCGCATAATGACCTATATTTCGGTAATGTAGGATAATAAATCTCGACGTTCCACGTTTATTGTGACGCGTAAAACATTACCGATGACCTAGATTTAACATTACCCTTGCAACAATTTTCCACAGTAGACATGTGATATCTCGTATCCGTTAAACAAATAACTTAAAAATCTCGTAGAATTATTTACCTTATGGCCTCGCTATTATTCGAAAAAAATCTATTTTTTCGATTGTAAAATGAATCAATTGAAATTTAAATTTTATTTACTACGTTGAATATCATTGAACGAGTTAAAATTAACGATGAAACACGTTATGAATCATATGGTCAGAGAAAATCGATGAATTTTCGCAGGGAATAATCGCAAAGAAAAACGATGGAAACCGAGGTGGTGTCCGTGATTTAAAACGCCAGTGTTTATCGGGCTCTGGTTTTTTCTCCAATGACGTTGACAGTCTCTGAAGTCATTGACACCAATACACCCGCACCAATAGCCGCATGTACGGTTCAAGACCTCGATATGTAACGCGATACATTGGAAACATATTCCATAGATAATACTCGAGAGTATTTCTTTAAATCGAGTATATACGTGGGTGGAGATAGGATGGACAATAAAAATTTGTCACGACGCATTCGTAAAGAACGATTAAACGGTTCTTTGTTATTTTGCACGATTGCGAGCTACTTCGCAAAGCTCGTGCAGACAATGTTGAAATTCATCAATCGTGTTTAACAATGCTCGTAATGTATACCGTGTTATTGGGAAATAATTAATTGATTAATAAGTTTGATGATGTTTAATTATTAAACGTGTAAGTTGAAAAGAATTTGGATACCTACACGATAAACCGATTAATAGATGGATAATTGATAGTACATATGATGATAATAGATAATAATGAATATTGATAAAATGTTTTTGGGCAAAATGTTATTGGGCAAATGTTTCGTACGCAGATAAATGAAATAATAAAACGATTTATGAAATTTATGAAATTAATTGTGAAATGTCATTTGTTTTAATTAACTAGTGATTATAATGATTATAATAATTTGCTACTACAGATGATGAAATGATTTAGATAATAAAATAATGCTTTTTAGCCTTTGAAGTTTTAAATGGAAAACCAGATTGTATCTAGAGTGGAAAGATTCAGGCGAAGTCTTCGAAATTATTGACATTGTCAAGAAACATGCAGTTACAGATTCATTAGCGTTCAATTAGTACCGTTTGTTCTAGTTAAACAAGGAAACTAGCTTTTAAAGGGTCCAGTTGACAGAGGATTGTTCAAATAGTTGTACTAGCTTCTGGAGTTCTTTCGAGAGCTACCTAGGGATCGTTTGTTTGCGACTTCCTCTCGGGGAAGTTGTTTCCAACGACTTCGGTCCTCTGTGGAGTTTCGAAAATTCTTTGAAAATCTTCTAAACACTTTGAACTTTTTCATTTTATGAAGTAAAATAATGGAACGTTTTATTTCTTTGCGTAAATGTAAAACAATTAGGTATAACAATTAGGTATAATTATCGAGTATTTTTCACTTTATCGAATAAAATACTGGAACATTTTATTTACTTATTATTTTTTTTTTTAGAAGTAAATGTAAAACAATTATCAATTAACAATATTAAACACAGCGATTATCTGAAAATATTAAAATTATCTTTATCTTAATTCCTAGAGAACGTGAAAGCTAATTTAAGCAATTTGACACGATATCGCGAGGTACGTAACAAGTAGATTACCAGAAACGTAAGAAACGATAATAATTTTTTATAGTTCTGTTAAGCAACATTTCGATGCGCCTTTATCGGCCTCATATTTTTGGAAACTGTACAACATTGACCGAACAACTATTATCACGAAAGATCGGTAAGAAATTTCTGAAGGGAATTCAGGAAATACGAAGAATGAATGAAGAAGAAAATAAAAAAGAAAATAAAAGGATGTAAGATTATTATGTTCATCTTCGAACATTGATACACGTATGAAAATATAATTGCAGAGCGATTTGGGTATGGCAAGATGGAACGTATCATATGGACTATTAGATGCGGCATATAGTCATTCACAAACAACGATCGTAAGGCGAAACGATGTATCGTTGACAAGTTATTACTTGCACGATTTGGACGTGAAGTTTTGCATACCCGTCTCGTGATTCAAAATCCTGGCGGACCGCCACAGGAGATTCTTCTAATAGCCCATCCCAAAAACTTGTCGCGACTCTATAACGCTTCAGAGTCGAGTAGCAATTTTCGTCTCGGCACAGAAGATGCTTTCAATTATGGCTTGCCGTTCGTTTACTTCGGTATTCATCTTAGCGCTCTTCTCTAGGGGATCTTAACTCTCTCGATCCTGTTTTTCCGTGTTTGAATAGACATCGTTGAGGGATACATTGGGGAAGGAATGTTAATATTAATTCCAGAAAGGAGAAATTTTATTTTTAATAATTCCAAAAAGAGATGATTCTTATTTTTATTAATTATTCCCAAAGCAATATTGAATAATGTTTGAGTTATTATTAAGAAATATCAAGTCACGGTTAAAAGATCTAAGGGAAAAAAGGGAACGTAAATTTCGACGGGGCGCGTTTTTTGTTCGTCGATCGAATATATTTCGGTCCCACTGTCATCGCGTATTCCAGATGTGAGACGGGCTCACGCACACGCGTGTGCGAGATAAATTTTGCACGGGTGTATTTTAGGTTGCACGAAGAAAGGTACAGTCTCTGCGAGGGAAAGGAATTGGAAATTCGCGCGGGAAATTGTAGATCCGATTTTTTTTTCTAGCGTCTATTCTAATAAATAAATAATTTATATCACGAATAAGGAACGAGTTACGAGTGGACTCGTTTATTTAAAAGATCGTGTTTCGAATCGCTCGTTAAACGATCAGAGTAGTCAACTATGGGCTGGTAACTTAAGCTCAAAAGGGGTGGACATTTACGAGGAGCATAAACCAACAAAGAAGCATCGCTTTGACGAAACCATGACTCGATTTTTCCAAAAAATTAATTATAGGTATCACGTTTTATTGCAAACAGAAGGATTCGATTTGCGATTGAAAATCATCTTAATTGAGTTGCTCAACATACGCGTCTAGAAATCCGAGGAGCTATGATGAAACTATGTTCGATGGGGTCAAACGGTTATCGTGAAAAATACCGCGATTAACGTATAATTAATTTCCTACTGCATCGGGTTGCATAAATTTCACGCTTATAAATAGATGTGGTAATCTAAGAAAAAATTTCGAAAATTCTTTCGATGTCTATGACAATTTTTTCCCCAAGAGTTCGCGAAAAATATATTTCGTGAGTCAATTTACCGCTCGCGATAACGCGGCATGATTTACTACTATATTTGCACTGTAACAACTTCATGCGTGTCTCCTTCTCTCGGATAGAGCGCGATAAACAATTCGATTAAGACTGCCAGCTTCTAGATTAACTTAATCCAAATTATTGAGATTCTTTTCGTCTTGACCATCGTTTGGCCAGCACCCAGGTTATGAAGCCGCTGGAAATAATGATGAAACATGACAGGACTATTTTAAACGTCCTCAGGATATAACATTTACACGTGTTATAAATCTAAACTTGTGCGTTCACATGGTATTTCGACTATAATATACCAAGATATTCGCTATGATTCGAGATAATTTTCATTCCACGATACAATTTCGCGAATCGAAACCGGCTACGCGAGTCCATCTCGTCAACCATTTCGTTGATTTAATTTATCGAACGTTGCACGGATCGCGTGTATTTCGTGGCAGAGATCCGAATCGTTTCAACTTGTTCCACGTTCGCGCTGGAAAATTAAGGAGCTTTAATCTCCGGCGTTGGGGCGGACTAATCAGTGACATGTGCTCCCGGCCGGGAGAACCACCGAGGAAATTAAACGAAAAGATCCGTTTCTATAAAAGCGGAGCCGGAGGCCGACAAAGGGAGGCAGCACAGGGGTCGATAATTAGCGAGTGAGAATGGTAGACAAACACTGGTCGCGTTTCGGGCATCTATGTAAGCGGAACACGTGTTTTCGAGGGTGACACTGACATCCATCACTCGTCCGGTATACGCCCACATCACGGACTCGCGCGTTCGCCGTTCAACTTTTCTACTTATACCAACGGGGGCAATTTTTGCTCGTCCTTTTATCCTCGACAATTTGTTCCGCCTCCCCGGTATCGTTTTCGCAAATTTCCAGCTACCAAATTAGCCGATGCTTCCCCTCCCTCCGCCACGGTTCCCTGCTTTTTATCGTCTTCTTCTTAATCCCTTGATGAAGAAGGAACATGAAATGCCACCGAAAAATAATTGGAGGACCGTTTACGCGAATAACACGCTCCCTCGAAACTGTTCTTATAAATTGATATAAATTGAACGCGACGAATCAACTGGTATTTACGCGTGAGCTGAAGAACAGATTATGCTCGCGTATAATGTATCTTTCGTCCGCGCCATTTTTGATAAATTGATCGTTCAGTCGGGCGAACACTGTCGCAACTGTCGCAAAATATTCATACGGTTACGGTTGGACGATTATCGTTTAGTTTTTCGCAATTATCAATTTCGATCGCGTATTCGACTTCCATCGTTTCTCTAATATAATCCGCTATTGTGATAAATTCGTCTGTCAAGCTGAGGACAGTGGGTCTCGTTGAAATTCGCTCGAAATTCTCGTCGTTCCATTTTCTTTCTTTCCCTTTTCATCCCTCTTCTTCTTCCCGTCCGCGCGAATTTCTCGTATCTTTTCGAGAATCGAGGAAGATCGAGTGGACCCATACGTTTGCGAATCGTCACGTGGAACCGGCGATCTGGCTATTTCACGCGCGTACACGCGCGTGAACGTCGCGGTGCACGCAATATTATTAGACTTTTTCTCCGCCACGCGGTGATGAATGGCTGAGATCAAAGGGTCCGACGCGTGTAGTCATTTTACACGCGTGTAATACACGTATCCACCGAGGAGGAGGGCGAACGGTGCACGCGTATGCATGCGCACACATGCTCCGCACCGGGAAGATCTCTTTCCCGTTCGGGACATCCTTGCTTTTCGTCTTATCCCGCAACTTGTTCGAAATTTTCATTGTTCTGCGGATGTATCTGTCTCGTCGTATTAACATGTTTTCGTTCCTGTTATCGAGAGGGGTTTACGAGTTGGGAGACTTAGGGAGAAACGTATATCGCTGAGAATTTATTGCCGACCCTTATTGGATTTCTAGAGTTAGGTCGTTTAAGACCAGAGGAGATTAATACCTGTGGGACAGAAAAAAATATTTGGTTTGAAATATATTTAAAAAAAGAAAACGAAAAAAAGATATTTATCCCGATAGAAGCCAATAGAGAATCGAGAAAATAATTCTCGGTAGAAATATTATTTTTAATCTTTGTATCTTATAATTTTAATATAATTGAGTTTTGTAAAATGGAGTTATCGTCTGGAACAAAATTGGTAAAAAATTTTCACAATTTTATCATGATTCGCAAGGTGTTGATAATTTTGTAAAGGCGAGTCGACAGATAGATAGATGCTCCTGGAAAGTAAGGAAATTCATCGTAATTATAAATCTATCAGGCAGGCGGTTTATCCCCTCATTAATTACTTATCTATATAAGAGAGCCGACAAGAGGCAGGCATAAACTACGGGGCTTGTCTCTCCGTTTAACGAGCCCGCGCTACTCCTTCGCGATCGAACGGTTCGCCGGCAAAAAGACGGAGTTTTAATGTAACGCGGGTCATTAAGTCCAAATCGTTGGAGTTTAACGGGCCACGTCGGGGTCGTTCCACGAAACGGCGATCCGCTGAAAAACCCGCTCCTTTTAGCGGGGTGATTCTTGGAAAACTGCCTCGTCGTTCGTCTTCCAATTGAAACTTTCAATTAAACCTTTTCTTCCGCTACTGTTCTCAATCGATCAATTTTTAAGAAAATATTTATAAACCGCCGATGGACAAATTGAAAAACCTTCTATCTGTGAAAATTTAATAAAAAAAAAAAAAATATAACGATTCGAATTTCAAGGAATTGTACTGATCAAATTTATCAAGATGACAAAAAATTACAAAATTTACTCGACATCGAAACATCCCCATCTTATGATATATTCCAATAGGATAATTAGAAAAAGTGAGAAAAAAGAATACGTACGAAATTATTTGGATCGTCGCGACTTCAAAGAGCTTTCCTCGCATCGATACACCGTTGATGGTTGAAATGTGGCGTAAAGGGCGCGTGTTTCGCGCCTCTGCCAAGAAGCCGCCATTACAGAAAGATCGAGGGGATGTCGAAAAAGGGGACGGAGAAAAAAATGGTGGCCGGTGGCCGCGCAAAAACGCGTCTCTACGGTCGGCGGCGTCGGCGACGAAACTCTTCTTCCAGGAATCACGGAGGCATCGTAGGGCCCTCCTTTCCGCCGCGGTTTTCTTATTTATTCCTCTTCTCCGTAATGCGTACATACGTCGGCCTGCCGCTTCGCGAACAGAAAGGAGAAACGACGGGAAGGGAATGGAAACCGACGTAACCGAAGGGAGAGAAACGAGAGAGCCACATAAATTTCCCCCCTTCCGCGGATGGGAAAGCCGCGTTCCTCGGGAGACATGTTCGTACTTCCTTCACGGATATCCGTTCACCATCTCTATTTCCACTTCGAGCCTCTTCAAATAGATGCAAAAAAAGAGAAATACGAGGATTCGATCTTTTCTCGACATCAAAAGATCTGGAAGATGTTAACGCATTAAGGATGCTCGAACCATCTGTTTGCGCGATAGACAGAAAATCAAATTTTTGGATTTTTATTTGTCGATCTGTTAAATCTCGTATAGAGTCGTTTTGGATATTTTTCTGTCTGAAAAATTCTATTTTCGTATAGGCGTATCTGTAAATTTTCTCGTTTTCAATGGAAATTTAACGTGGTCGGTGAGTCGGAACAAGGCACGACCATCGTTCCCGAGTTAAAGATAGACTCCTTATTATTCTCGTAACGGCTTGTTGTCTTTTCATACCGGCAAACGGAATTTAGGTGGGTTTGGAACGCAGTTAGAGGCAATTGCTAGGGCATTGCTTCGCTAATTAAGGGTTGTTACAGCCGTGCTCGACCGAGTAGGAGCGAGCAAGCGACATACATCTGCATCTCATTAAAACGAACCCTAGCGCCAGGTGTAAGTTCCGATGCGAAGTATATTATCGTCGCGTTATTTAGTAGCCTAGCCCGTCGAATCGACGCGAGATTACTCGCTCGTTTTACGTTCCAACTAATCCTTAAAATTTATGCTTTCCCCCACGAGACGAATTTTCTTAAATCAATATCTTTTTGCTTCTCTCTCTTCCTCTCTCTCTCCCTCTCGTCCCGCAAACCACGAAATCGAAAATCAGGGTGTCACGTGTCCCTAAACAGAAAGACCGAATGAGACCGAAATTTATTAAAAGTTTTATGGACCCGAGAGGGTCGCGCTGTAATCAACCACGTCTATAAAAAAAAAGACTAACCCAAGCCCCGACCATTTTTTCTTCTTCGACTGGTTCCAATTCATTCTACGTCTAATATCTACTAATATCGAAAAACCTAATCCACCCTTCGACGTTCTTTACGGACAGAGAGTAACGCGAGCGAACTCGGTGCAGATCAGCAGCAGCAACAACAGCAGCAACCCCATCAGCAACAACAGCAACAACAATACGGCGAGGTGAACCAACTAGGGGGTGTGTTCGTGAATGGCCGACCCTTGCCGAACGCGGTCAGGTTGCGAATAGTGGAGCTTGCACAGCTGGGGATCAGGCCGTGCGACATCTCGCGGCAGCTGCGAGTCAGCCATGGTTGTGTCAGCAAGATTTTGGCCCGTTACCACGAGACAGGCAGCATACTGCCCGGCGCTATCGGGGGCAGCAAACCCCGGGTAACCACCCCCAAAGTTGTCCAGTATATCAAGCAATTGAAGCTCAAGGATCCGGGGATCTTCGCTTGGGAGATCAGGGATCGGTTACTGTCCGATGGAGTGTGCGACAAGTACAACGTCCCATCGGTGAGCAGCATCTCGAGGATATTGAGGAACAAAGTTGGCGCGGCGACCGCGATCCATCACCATCCCCATCATCCGGCGCATCATCACCATCATCATCATTTATACGCAGCTGCGGCCGCGGCCGGAGCCGCCCTTTGCCCCGTCCCCTATCCACCGACGCCTTATCACGCGACGCCGCCACCCGCTGTAACGCATCATCATCATCATCATCATCATCAAGGTTGGTAATATCAATGATCACGCTCAATAATCTTGTTCTTCTTCTTCGAGCGAGAACTTTTCACAGTTTTCACATCGAAGAAAATCATTTTCAGAGAGAATCTATTAATTGTCGATTCTATCATTTGTGATTAGTATTCAGAAAGTTCTTGCTCGAAACGCCAACCTACCACGAACACGGTACGTGACACATTGGTGGAAGAACAGTAGATGTACACCTCCTCTCTGCTCGTGTCTCTCTCTCTCTCTTTCTCTCTCTCTCGGAACGACAGAGAGGAAACGCAAAACGAGACCCGCCCAAAAAGAACAACTCGTTCTCCACCGGTGCAACTTGAAGTGTGCGTTCAGTTCTAGCAGCAAGCTCGCGGGATATCAGGCAACAGTCGCGTCTCTTTCTTCCATCCTGATACGAGCACTGAATAATCGAATTCGAACGAACCTCTCCCTACCAATTTGGTACCGGTGCGTTTCCAGTTGGGCCGACGACGCCTGGCAAGCTGTCGCCATCGTCTCCGACCACGATTCACGCCAGTATCGGCCATCAGACTGCCACTTCCGCCGGTTTACAGTGGCCGAGTCCTCACACGGTTCACGACATTTTGGCCACCGGTTGCAACTTGACCAATTCCCAATCATCCCCCTCGCCGACTTCTCCGCTGTGCGCGACCATTAACAATAATCATCACCACGGTCACCATCATCATCATCATCATCATCAGAGCAACGACAACGCTGCCAGCAACAATAACAACGAGGAGACCAGCGGCTACCATCATCCGCATCACCATCATCACCATCATCAGCAGTATTACGCGTCGGCTCTGTATCATCATCATCATCATCATCATTCGGACAGCGTGACGCCGGTGGCGACCACGTCACCGGTTCTCACCGTACAGTCGATCATGATGCAATCATCAGCGACCAACAGTCAACCGGCTAGTCCTTGTAATTGAAATTATTCGAATGAAATTATATAGTTAGAATGATGAAGCGCGAGTGGTGAAAAGACTAAAATATCGTTGGATTGTGGAATAGAGTGGTTGCACGTACAATTGAACACGAGTATATCGGTTAAATTTGTAATCAATATGTAATTAAGAAAAAGAAAGATCGAAATTATCGAGTGATTGTGAGAGTAAAGACGAAATAGAGAAAAATATGAAATAAATATGGGATGTGTAGCTGGCGAAAACGATACATCTCACCAGTATTATATATTTTTTATCGTCATTTTGCCAAGAGTGCCTTTTCTCGAGTGCCATAAAGAAAAGCAATTTCTACTGTTTTGTTATGTATTTGTAACGGACTGTGAGAGAAGATAATCGAGATTGTTGAAACTTTTTCAAAGAATATGCACGTTACTCGTCGAACTTTTTTTTTTTAGTTCATTTTAAGGAAATAATCCTTTAGCTCGTTTTTCTTTTTTGTATGTTTGTTCGATCTTTGCGTATATATTTAATGATATAATAATCGTTGAAGAAAGAATTATTGATTCCCAGCCAAGCGAGATCGAAAAACGTTAAAAAGTTCTCTGACGACGATTCGGCGGGACGTTATCGATGTTATTTAATTGATAAATTTGTACAATCGTATCGCGATGTAGGACAACTATAATCTTCTGCTATGCTTTTTTTTATGAAATGCAATTTTTGTCATTGGGAAATATATATATTTTCCTCCAAGTTAAACAACAAAATTATGTTTCTTTTTACCATCGTCGTTCAAATTCTTCGAGATCAAGGATGATAACCTCAAAGAGACGACAAACAGGTAATTATAAGGTAAGAATTATATAAATTAAGTTTGTTAAATCATAATACAGAATAAACAATGTACAATAAATGTACAAATCTCATTTTTGCGTAGCAAAATCACTATATCACTATAATTGATTAAAATTTTGTCAACATTAATATATTTCCTAGCTCGTGATTCAATTGGCACGATGAATAATTCAAAAATATAATTTTAGTTATTCTCTACATTTTCGTTTTTTTCTGGCACATTTTTCAAATATATTTCGGTTTCTTTCTTATTAAGATTATAATATATAGAGAATCAAAAATTTATACGATTTTTACAATTAATTGAATAAACAGGAAAGTCGATAACATAAATTGTATTTCAGTTGAAGTTAATCTATTGCGGTGATCTTTGTAATTACTAAGAGTTCCATGAAGCAAAAGGAAAGTTCATTTGAGAAGCAACGATCCAGAAGTAAAGAAAAACCCTGAAAAATTATCGGGATTTAGTTGTCCATGTGCTCGTGTAATCGCGAGTTTCCAATCGATCGAAGCACAAGCTATGTATTCAGTTTGATCGACGCTCCAGAAACGGTCGACGCAATACTTGAGAAATCATCATTAAGAAACCATGGCGAAAAAAAGGAACAATCTAAGTAGTTTTAATAATTGAACGTATTTTTCAATATCTGATCGATTCAATTGCTTCGATTCGAAATCAAATACATAGTTTCCAATTTAAATTTATATTCAAGAGTTCAAATATGCAAATTGAAATTAAAATCCAAGTTTAATTGTTTGAAACGATATCTTACAATTATTATCGAGAGTTTTTGCAGCAAAGAAGATAATTTCCAATCGTCGTTTCATCGATTTTTCTTTGTCGACTTCGGACCGGCGACGAATGAAAAAACGCGTGGAACGTATCTAGAAAAATGACATAGTCGTAAAATATAAAATAAAAAGTAGCTGACATGATGGATAGAATTTATTGTCCGTTACACAGTTAGACATTTACGTATTCTGTTAAATGTCTTATAATATTCACGCGTAACTGCCGATAACTTGGACTGCTTGATTGATGCTTCCATTCCGAATAATCAAGAGCGTTTCTCTGTAACCGAAGATAATGCGCGTGCAATGTTTAATGAGCTACGATATCGTTCTTAACGCGTACAAGCAGCTTACAACTTAATAAATAAATCGTTTCTCCTCTTGTTTTTCACAGAAACAATGATTCCTCGAAGAAAGTATAACGGTTACGACTCCTTCAACTAATATTAGTTAAATTTCAATTAATGAAATAATTATTACGTAACTTATTTCCTCTGTTCAATTTCAATTGAAAGATTGGTAATATTGTTCGAGAAAAGAGTAATCGGATAGTTGTATACAAGAGTTATGATGAAATAATAAATGTTACACGTATACTTTCTATTAATTTTCAAGTTGTTATTCGATAAAGGAGTAAATAATAGCACGCGACATGCTGCCTTTTGTGTAAGCAACCGGTCGCGCGCGCGCGCATGTATGAAAGCACCGAGTTATAAAAGCAAACGGACCGGCGCTGTCCAATCAGCGTTGATCGAGCGTGAAATCCCTCCTCTTCGACGAAATTAGACACCCACTCGGCGTTTCAAGCATCACGGGTCTCAGCCAAAATAACCAATGATAGTTTTTCCAATGGAAGATGATATTAAACTCTGCTCAGACGCCATTTTTATAAAATTCATCGTATCGTCCTTTAAGTATCGTAAAATCAATATTATATCCCATTAAATAAAAATAATTCTTCAATCCTTTCTTGAATCTCTCATCCTCGTTCTTTAAAATGACAATAATTCGATAAGTGATATTCGCGTAAAACTTGCTAGTTCATCAGCTCTGGTGATGACGTACGCGTTATAACCGTGTTTTTTCTCGTGACGTTTAGTCGTGTACAACATAATGAACACCGTTGCGGCACAACGGTTTGTCCCTTTGAAATACGAATATCCCCTTTCCATTCTGCGGTAAGATACTCCGCCCTGGAACTCTATTACTCCCTAGTCAAAGGAGCGACAAAACCTACTCACGGGAACCGACTTCTTTGGAACCGACTTCTTCTCGTTCCGTGTCGGTTTTCCATGTTCTCATTAACGTCGCTCTTATTAACCGAAAAAGAAAGAAAGAATGAGTTCTTTTGATCGTCGTAATTTCTCCTTTCTGAAAAATCATCATAAGTCGATCCTTTCCGAAAAAAAGGAAAAGGAAGTATAATAATACGGATGGAACTATTAATTAAAATAGAAGTAAGTTCCTTAAAAAGATAGATAGATACAATTTATTTCGAATGTATTTAGTTACTTACAAACTTCATCAAATTGTTTCAGCTTCTAATATCAGAGGAGTGGACATTGGTCGTTGAATGGACGTATAAATTTCCACGGCAAATAGACGGTCAACGATTTTCCAGCGAAGATGAGAATTCAACCGTGAGATAAAGGTGTTCTCGACCATTGTGCCTGTTACAACCCTTCTCCGTTTAAAATACGGCGACTTCTGGTAGCAAATGTTTGCTTCCGCGGCACGCTGTGCTCGCGAACCCCGTCGCGCTCGATTACGAGCTACGCCATGACGAAGATACGCTAATAAATTAACGGTTAAATAAACCCTCTGCGAAGGAACAGACTCTGCCTCTGCTTAGAATAGAATAGAATGTATTAGAAGAGTACAAGCGCGATTAATGAGCCAAGATTTCGGTGTGGTTGAAAAGATGCTGTATCAGACGTCAGAACCGCACAATTTCCCGAGAACGAGGTAAAGTAATTGGTATGGAACAATTTTTTCATACTTTGAAAAATCTGAAACTATTTTAAAAAGATATGATTACGAGAGAATTGTTTTCTTTACTTCGCAAAATTATTTCGATTATTTAAAAAAAATTGAAATAATTTAAATCTAAATTTCAACTATTCAAACTTAAATTTAAGTTTTTTTATTTTTATTCATTATCACAATTTCGTTTTGATAAACATCGATTACAATTCGTGGTTGTTCATCTATATTTTAAATCTTTCTTCTTTTCTCTCGACAATGGAATCTTTTTTACTTGGAATAGAATATAGGAAAAAAGAAAAATATATAGAGTGGAACATGATAATTAAGAAAACGTCCCATTTTCTTGGTCCAGCATGTTCCTTTCGTCTGGAGGCGAGTCGAAGCGCGTTTTCCATTCGGTGTACAAATAGCTCGCAGACCCCTAGCCCCTGTCGGCTTCTCTCATGTCTCCACGACGCGTCGCGTCGCACGCTTCATGCTTCTGCGCTATCCGATGTCGAGCGTCG